CCACACCCCCTACCTAGCTCCGGGTGCTCCTCAGCCTGATGGACGTGGGATATTTGGGAATGTCGCTGTCTTGGGACCCTCGGCCACTGGTGTCCTGACCCAGGGCGCTGCAGGGGACGCTGTGGGACGGGCAAGGGATGCCGTGGGTGGCGGACGAGCCAGCACTAGCAACAGGGAGCATCTGGAGCCCAGATGGGAGAGGCAGGAGGAGGAGCATGCCGTGGGGTAGGCAGCCTCCCCAGCCCCCCATCCTTTGTGTTGTGCTGCCCCACCTTTGCCATGGTGGGAGGTATCCCCCTGCCTACAGCCCAAACCACCAGCCCCTCCGTGTGCTCATGGTGCTGGCCATGTCCATCCAGGCATGGCAGGGGGGCTGCCCCTCTGTGGGCTGCCCCCTTTCTGGCCAGCAGGAGGGTGGGTGCCCACCCTGCCCCAGAGGCGTTCACCCCTCAGCCCACCCCTAGGATAGGGGACAAGGGGTGCAAAGGGACCCCTGGCACCACTGCGGGGGCAAAGTGCAGGGCACAGCCCCCCCCATGCCTCCCACTCCCTGAATGGGGCAGACCCCCACATCCCCATGGTGGGAAGGGACCCTGGGAACACCCGTGGAACGCTGTCAGCCCCTGTGTGGGACTGGGAGGCGAGAGGTCAGGGAGCTCTGCAGGCACTTGGCATCCCGGCTGGGAACGGCAGCTGGACACTGGCGTCATGCCCGCCCCTGCCTGGAAACCGGCGTTCGCTTTCCCGTTACCGACCTCTGGGACTCTGCCCTGCTCCCACCCGGCAAGGGGCTGCCCTCAGCCCCAGGCCAGCCTCAGCACCAGGACCTGCACAGCGCACGTCTGTGCGTGGAGGGACAGTCTGTGGGCCAGCATCCCATGGGGGTGGCAACCAAAGGGGGTGACACTTCCAAAGGGGGTGAAGTGTGGGGCAGTTGGCATCCTATGGAGGTGACATCCGATGGCTGCGGGGTGGCATCCAAAGGGGGTGGCATCTGGGGCAGATTGTGTCCCATGGAGGTGGCATCTGATGGCTGTTGGTGTCATCCAAAACGAGTGGCACATCCAAGGTGAGTGGCATATGGAGAAGATGATGTCCCATGGGGATGGCATCTGATGGCTTTGGTGGCGTCCAAAGGGGTGGCATCCAGGGCAGAGAGTGTCCCATGGGGGCATGGTCCTCTCTATCACTTGTGCCCTGGCTCCTGCCACGTGGTCCTTGGCACCAGCCCACATCATCTGCAGCACTTCTGTCTTCCATCTGGCTGCCTCATTGCACTTGTGAATATTCATGACCCTCATTATCCTCTTTCACTCGTTGCTCCCACACTCGGGCTAAAAATAACTCCCCAAGGGGGGATGGGGTGCACAGGGGGTGCGGGAGAGGCTCGTCCCCTCATTGGGGGCTCTTGGGGTGCTGGCTCCTTGGGGTCCCAGCTCCCTCATCCAAGGAGACAGTGATCTGACTGGAACATGAGGTCACAGGGCAGGAGAGGGATGGCACCAGAGATTTTGGGAGCTGTAAGCTCTTGGCTGGAGTGCCAGTGAGCCCCTCCTTCCTGCCCCATCTCAGTGGGGAGCTCCACTCCCTGCTGTGGGGTGCTGGATCTCCTGAGCTTGGGTCCTGCTGCCCCCTACCCTGGCCATCCTTGATTGTCCCAACCAGCCATGAGCATCTCTAGTGTTGTCCCATGTAGTGGTGGCAGCACTTTGCCACTCATGGAGCGGGAGCTGGGCACCATGGGCTGGAAGGTGCCACCTCCTCTCATGGGAGGTCCTTCAGCTGGGACCAGGCTTGGACTCTCATGCAGCATGGGCAGTGGGGAAGGCGGAGATCCCTGGGGTGCTGACACCTGCCCCTTTGCCCCCGCAGAGCTGAAGGCGACGGGCACAGCGCACTTCTTCAACTTCCTCCTCAACTCCAGCGACTACCGCATCCTGCTAACGACCGCATGTACGTGGGCAGCAAGGACTACGTCCTCTCGCTGGACCTCCACGACATCAACCGCGAGCCCCTCATCGTAAGCTGCCATCGCAGGGCATGGGAGGAGCAGGGCAACTGGGCACTCGGGTGGGCACTTTGAATGCTGGGACAGGAGCTCAATAGGCATCGCTAGTGCTGGTGAGGAAGAGGTAGGGCTGGGTGGGAACCCTGGTCTACCCATGGCTCGTGTGTCTGCAGATCCACTGGCCTGCATCCCAGCAGAGAATCGAGGAGTGCATCCTGTCGGGCAAGAACAGTAACGTGAGTGGCCACCGTGGACTCGCCTCTGGTAGCGGTGGGAGGGCTGGTGACCGGCATGGGAGGGGAACAAGTCATCACTGGGTCCCGTGTAGCTCAGCAGCATCTGCAGCCATGCTGGGATGGGGTGGCACTCCGAGGTGTTGTGGTGTCTTGCCGCCCCTTCTGTCCTAGCCACACAGGCCCCGGACAGCTTCATGGGTGAGCAGGATGCTGAGCTCCCCACTCTGCTTCCTCCCACCACCCAGGGTTGAGTCCTCCGGTGTGACAGCTTATGGCCCGTGCCAGCTCCTGACTGGTGCCGCCCCATGCCATGTGCCAACCCATGGCTCTGTGTCAGCCCATGACCATGCCAACCCATGGCCCCACTCCAACCTATGGCTTCATGCCCTGTCCCCTGCCAGCCATGCCCCATGCCACCCTCTTGGCTCCTCGTCCTGCTTTCTCCCGGCTGCTACCCTGTGTTGGCGGGCTGGACTCGGTGGTGCCTGTCCTGGCATGGGTGCTGGCAGCCAGTGGGAAGATGGGTGCTCCTGTCCCCTTGTTGGATTTGGCTCCTCTGCTTCCCAGGGGGAGTGTGGCAACTTCATCCGCCTGATCCAGCCCTGGAACCGGACCCACCTCTACGTCTGCGGCACCGGTGCCTACAACCCCATCTGTGCCTTCATCAACCGCGGGCGCAAGGCCCAGGTGAGGGGCGGGAGGGACAAGGGGGGCTCAGTGGGTGCCCGGCTCAGCGGCTCTGGCACGGCCACCATGGGACTGCAGCAGGATGCCAGGAGGTGTGGGGGGCAGAGGCTCGGGGGGTAGCGGCAGGCTGAGGGGTGACCATGGCTAAGGGTGCCATGCTGCTGAGTGGGGCCAAGGTGTCTCTGCAGATCAAGGACTTCACACCAGAACTGGGCTGCCCCGGCTGGACCCCGATGGCTTCCATGGAATGTGCTCTACTGGCCCACGGGCCACAGTGACTGCTGGATCTCCACCAGCACAAGGGCTTGGCTTCCACCCGTCGCTGGGCCACTGAGCCCCTCACCATGGGTGTTGAGGATGCCCATCACCACACCAGCATCACACAGGGAGAACCGTGACAGGGCCATAGCGGCATGTATGGCTGTGCTGGGGGTGTCCCTGGATGGATGTCACCCTACCCCGAGGACCATGACGCACAGTGAGAGGGCAGCATAGAAGCCACCCAGCTGGATGCATGGCACAGAGGAGCACAATCAGGATGGCCCTGGGAAGGAGCCGGCCTCTGCAAGTAGGGGTGCAGGTGTCCTGAGGACCCTGAGCCCTGTGAGGGGCCCATCCCTTCCCTGCCGGGGTGGCAGGTCCTGGGCTGGGTCTTCTCCAGGCGCCGTCAGCCCAAGCCGAGGGAGGAGCACGGCGTTGGATGTGGAGGATGGGCACCTATCCCAGTGCCCCCGAGCCTGACGTGGGCATCAAGAGAGGTGGATGCTGCTCGGGCCACTCCAGATTGGGACTGGATTGGGACTGGACTGGCAAGTGTCAGCATCTGAGGAGGACCAGGGGTGCCATTCCAATTGAGGACAGCATCATGTCCCACAAAGCCAGTGGTGTTGTGGCAGAGACAGGGGGTCCCGGTGCCATCTTTGCATCCCCAGGCGTGATCCCACCCTGCCCGGCTGCAGGCAGCCCCCTCCCTGCTCTCTCCTGCCCTGCGCCAGAGCACCCCAGTCCTGCAGGGGAGAGCAGGATCTGTCCTGGAGAAGCTCCTGCTAGAGGCCAGCCCAGCCTGGAGCACCCAGGGACCCTGATGGCACCACCCGGGGGGACCATGGCTCTGTTGCTCTGTGGGCACCCATCACCCCAGCTCTTGGAGTCCCCCTGCCTGCTCTGGGGGGTCCTTCATCCCCCGCTGGTGCTAACACTCTGCCCTGCTCCTTTTCCCCAGGGGTTTCTGCCGAGCCAGCCAGGAGGCCGGGAAAACAGAGCTGCCGACGGCCCCCTCAGCCCGAGACCAGCACAAAGCAAGGTGGGAACCGGTCTGGGAGCCCGCCGCAGCTGTGCCCACCACTCCCTAGGCCGTGCCAGAGCTGCGGGCTCCTTCTTCCCAACGGCATGCTTCTGACCCCTGTGCCGTGGGCATCCTCGCCGCCTCCTTCCCTCTCGGCACAGCATCCTCAGGCCACCAGCCTGGCATCTACTCTTCTGTCACTAACTCCTTCCTCCTGGGCCATGCACGGGTCCTCTGTGGGGGACATTGTCAGGGACGGTGGCTCTGCCCCTCGCTGCCAGCTTTGCCTAGCTCAGGGCTTGCTGTGTCCCTCGGAAGCAGGGCCATGGGAATTGGGACAGTTCAGGGGAGTATGCCAAGGCAACGTGCAGGATGTGTTTTGGTAGGGTCTACAAAAACATCACTGAGCAGCTGCTCTGCTCCAGGAGGGGCTTGTGTCATCCCATTGGGCAAGCACACTCAGGGGGGCGACGGCGTCCCCAGCTTCTGAGGACGTCCTGTGCCCAGCCTGCCCTGACAGTGTCACCCCCGACCCTCTCCTCTCTGGACTAACGTGGGTCTGTGCATGGGCTGGGGAGCGCATGGGGCATGGGCACCCCTGGTAGCCTGGGGCTCCCCCTGCCCATCCCTCTTCCCCCTGGACCTGAGGGTGGGTGGGAGGTGGGCAGAGGGTGATGCTTGGATGCAGGCATCTCGCTGGCTGTGGGCAGCTCCTGCTGCCAACTTCCCCAGTGCCAGCTGGGCAAGCACCAGTGCTGTTTCAGTCCCCCAGTTCCTCCCTTCCTGATGGATCTGGTCCCAACATCCACAGGGTGAAGACCCTCTGCCCCAGGCGGGTGCTCCCTGGGGGCTGCCAGCTTTTCGGCAGCTCTGATGCAGTTCAAGGCACGTTGGCCAAATGGTGCCAGCACCGGCAGTACCCTGTGGGTTGCCGGGCTGGGAGGGTGAGGTGGTACGGCTGGTGCCAGGGCTGTGCCAGAGCCAGGTTGTCCCTGCGAAGGATTTGCCCGGCTTGGGAGTGGGGCTGACACTGAGCAGAGTAGTTTGTGATGGTGACGGTGGCATAGGCGGCATGGTGCGGTGATGGGGATGGCGGAAGCACAGCTGTGCCCGTCTCTGGGGCTGGGATGCCCTGGGAGGAGCTGGTGCCAGCATACCCTCAGTGGAAGATGTGCTCGGTGAATGTCTTGGCTCCCTGCCCCTCCTGCCCTTCCCGGAGCGGGGGGCTGTGCCAGGACCCTGCTCACCTCTCAACAGACGGTGGCTGCCACCACATCCATCACCTCTGCATCAAAGCCAAGGCATGGGGCAAGTGGGCAGCTCCACTGGCCTGGTTTGATTGCCCAAGGTCCTCCCACACCCGGGCTCTGCCACCCTGCTGCTTCATCCCAGTTTGGAGGGTCTGTACAACAGGGTGAGGGGTGACCTGGCTGGGCCAGCCTGGCCTTGCCCGCCCCCAGTTCGTACTAGCGGAGGATTTTGCGAGTGTCTCTAGAGGCAGTGTGGGTCTCACGCCTGGCTGGGGACACAGGACAGTGTTGGGGATGGCTGTGGGGAAGACAGAGGCAACAGCAGGGAAACAGCTCCTGGTGGATGCTACCATCACCACGATGTCACCCCGGCAGTGCCCACTGGAAAATGGGTCCTGGCAGGAGGAGCATGGCAGGTCCGGCAGCTGAGCTGTGCCACTGGCCAAACCTCGCCTGTCAAAGCCACCAGAGCTGCATGATCTGGAGCCAGCCAAGCGGCACCCTGTGATGTGCAGCACGGCCAGCTGGAGTGAAGAGGTGGCCGGAGGGGGACGATGGCCCAGAAGCGGACATGGAGGCCTCATTTCAGCCGGACTGCTTGGTCAAGTCTCCAAGCGATGGAGGGCACAGAGAAGCACCCAGCAACATCGGAGGAGTAGCTCACAGGGACTTCAGCTTCTCAGGAGACCTGCAGACCCCTGGTGTGGTCCATCCGCATCTGTCCTCACTGCTGGGGCTCCATCCTGGAGGAGGTTGCCTCTCCCAGCGGGCTTCAGAAGGTGCTACAGAGATGGAGGGGTGAAAGTCTAACGAGCTCCTTGGTTTGCTTCCTTCTCCAGGATTATATCTTCTACCTGGAGCCAGACAAGCTGGAGTCGGGCAAGGGGAAGTGTTCCTATGATCCCAAAGTCGACACTGTCTCTGCGTTAATAAGTGAGTCCTGTAGCTCTCTGGGGCTGGCACTGCCTGCATTGGGCAGAGGGAACATGCAAAGGAGATGGGACAACTGCTCCCACCATCTGCCTGCATTGCCCGAATGTCCCCAAGGAGTCAGGCTCCTGCCCCTGCCACCCCTGCCCACTCCAGCCACAGATGGCTGAGCACCCAGCATGGCCCGTCCTTAGGTACCTGGCTCAGCAGAGGTGATGTCTCCTGGTTAGACCAGTGCCAACCTCCCAAGCTCTGGGATGACCACAGGCAGTGGCTCTTGGTTGCCTGGTGTCTTCTGGCCAGGGCTGGGGTTGGATGGAGCCCAGGGCAGTGGGAGAGGTCAGTGGCTGGGACGAGGTGGGGGTCCCTGGGACGAGCTGATCTCAACCCCCTGCAGATGAAGAGCTCTACGCTGGCGTCTACATCGACTTCATGGGTACAGACGCAGCCATCTTCCGCACCATGGGCAAGCAGACAGCCATGAGGACAGACCAGTACAATTCCCGCTGGCTCAATGGTGAGTTTGGGGTGTTGTTGGCCCAGGTTCCCTGGGGACCCCACAGCTCCAGCCCTAGAGATGAGACCTGTTGTGTCCTACTGCATCCTTCTCCCAGGACAGTGACAGTGGCCAGCATGGGCAGGTGGTGGTGTGGGATGGATGGGTAAATGGATGGATAGAGAGACAGATGGGTGGACAGATGATGGATGGATGGGTGGTTGACAGTTGATGGATGGGTGGACAGTTGGGTGGACAGATGATGGATGAATGGTTGGATGGATGGATGATGAATGATGGATAATTAATGGATGGATGGATGGATGGAAGTCTAAGCAGAAGAGCAGAGGGAGAGCTGTGTGGGGCATGGTGACAGACATGCTAGGGGCTTCGCCAGGTGACGGGAGCAGCCGGCTGGTGAGAGATGGGGCTGGCTTTGCCAGAGTCTGTGCAAGGGTTCCCACAGGGCTGAGATGTCAACCGTGTCGCCTGCAATCAGTGACCCTGAGCGCTCATCCTGCCCCCCTCAAAGCACCCCTGCCCGTGGGGTGACAGCTGAGTAAACAGAGCAGAGCAGATGGGGGTCCTGCCGGGGCGGAGAACCGGCGGGGTGGTAAACC